CGAAAGAGATACCCGATGCTGATGAACCTGACGAACTCTCTCAAGAGTACGCCGAACAGGAAGCAAAGAAAGAAGCAGAGGTACTGGAGCCGGTCTCAGGAGATATTCCAGTCGGCGATGATCAAGAGGCCGATGCTGCAGCAGAACCTGCCGTCGAGGATGAAGACGAAGATGATGACGTCCCAATCACCCGGCGAACTCGAGGCTCTCGCGCCAACATTGAGGAGGAACCAGCTGAGCCTGAAGATGCCGAGGGTGACGCTGTCGACACCGAACAAGCCGGCCAGCCCCGCCGGCTTACTCGCAGATCGGTTCTCAAGAAGAAATCAGCAGCGGAACCTAGTAGTGATTTTGATCCCGGCGAGGAGTCGGACGACGATGCCGCTCTCTCCGGAAAGGGGGAAAACGAAGACAATGAGCCGGATAGCCCCACTCCCCGGGGACGCTCAGGGAGGAGAGCCCGCCCGTCGCGCGGTGGTGGCGGGGCTGACTCTGCCGAAGAGGAGCCCGATTTCGATATGGACGAACTGAACGAAGAAGCCCGCGAGTTGAGAGCTGGTTCGCGACCTCGCCGCCGACGGCAGCGTGAGGAATCTCCCATCATATTTGAGGAGAAGAACAGGCGTTCTAGAAACAAGGTCAATTACTACATGCCTCCGCTCACTGCTGCTATTGTCGAGGAGGAGGAGGACCCTGCACCCACGCCTGGGAGGTCTCGCCGTGGCCGTGGGGCTGCTGCCACTCATTGGGAGCGCAACCTCAACACCACATTCGGCCCCTTTGGAGGAGGCGGAGGAGGAGGTTCGCTTCTCACTGGGCCCTGGGGAACTGGAGCAACTGGTGGCGTGGATTCAGATAGCAGCGATGATGAAATGGTGCATCGCTCCAACGTTGCTGGCAACATTGGAATGACCCCAACATCTGCAGCTCCCGCTGGTGGTCTCTTACCCGGTGGCCAGGGGTTGGCCGCTGAGACCCCTAATGTCGGAAAAATCAAGGACCGCAAGGCACTGGCTGATGCTGATCCTCTTGGGGTTGACTTGAGCGTTGATTTCAGCAAAGTCGGTGGTCTGCAGGGCCATATCGATCAACTCAAGGAAATGGTGCAGCTCCCACTTCTGTACCCTGAACTCTTCGCCAAGTTTCATGTTACCCCCCCTCGAGGAGTTCTGTTCCACGGACCGCCCGGTACCGGTAAGACTCTTCTTGCACGAGCCCTTGCCAACTCTGTTGGCTCAGGTGGCAAAAAGATCTCCTTTTACATGCGCAAGGGTGCCGATGCTCTGAGTAAATGGGTCGGTGAGGCTGAAAAGCAGCTTCGACTCCTCTTCGAGGAGGCTAGGAAGACACAGCCCAGTATTATCTTCTTCGATGAAATCGATGGATTGGCTCCTGTGAGATCGAGTAAACAAGAACAGATTCACGCGTCCATTGTATCCACCTTGCTCGCTCTGATGGATGGTATGGATGGACGCGGACAGGTTATTGTGATTGGTGCCACCAACAGACCCGACAACATTGATCCGGCACTTCGACGACCCGGTCGTTTCGACAGAGAATTCTACTTTCCTCTGCCAGACATCGAAGGCCGTCGCTCGATCATCAATATCCACACCGAGCACTGGGGTCTCGCTGATGACTTCAAGCATTCGCTGGCACAACAGACCAAGGGTTATGGTGGTGCTGATCTCCGGGCTCTGTCTACGGAGGCCGCTCTCAATGCTATTCAGCGAACATATCCTCAGATTTACTCTTCCAAGGAGAAGCTCATTGTCAACCCTGATAATATCAGTGTTCACGCATCAGATTTCATGATGGCGATTAAGAAGCTGATCCCGTCCTCTGAGAGATCTGCGACATCTGGTGCTCAGCCGCTTCCAAAATCCATTCATGATCTGCTGTCTGATCAGTTCGAAGCTGCAAAGCAGGCACTGGACGAAGTTCTCCCTCGGAAGAAGAAGATGACTGCCCTTGAGGAAGCCATGTATGAGCAGTTTAACGACGCAGATCATGGATTTGGACGAGAGGTTTTGCACCAAGAGTTTGAGCGATCCCGTGTGTTCAGACCTCGCTTCATCATACATGGCGCGCACGGCATGGGCCAAGGATATCTTGCCTCGGCCATTCTGCACTATCTTGAGGGTGTTCATGTGCAGAACTTTGATCTGCCTAGCCTGTTGAATGACGGCCGAGTAAGTTAACATGCAATTTTAACCCTTTGACCCCTCTCCCCTCTCCCCCCTTCCCCTTAATGGCTGTCTTGTTTTTGAGTCCATGTTCTGACATATTGCAGGCTATGGAGCAGGTGATTGTTGGTCTTTTCACAGAGGTTCGACGTCACAAACCTAGTGTCATCTATATTCCTAACATTGATGCTTGGTACGCGTCGCTCAAAGGAACGCTTGCAATGATCACCTTCCAGACCATGTTGCGGTCAATCCCTCCAACGGATCCTGTGCTCGTTTTCGCAACAGCAGAGTGCGAACAGAATGATCTTCCAGCTGAATTGTTCCGAGACTTCTTTGGGTTCTCACGCAAAAATCGGATGGAGATACCTCGGCCTACAACTGTAAGTGCAATTGAGAGGCTATTATTGAGAATGGTGAGGGCTAATTTGAGTCTAGGTAAATCGCAGAAAGTACTTTGGGGCGACTCTTGGTTTCATCAAGAAGAAGCCTGCAGACTTCCCTGACCCCGAGAATCGCAAGAAGCGTGTTTTGGAGGTTCTTCCAGTGGCTCCTGCATTGCAGCCGAAGCCTCCTACCAAGGCTGAGATGAAGGCTTTGAAGAAAAAGGACCACCAGTTGCTCAACACGCTAAAGATTCAGCTACAGCCCATCATGGACCAGATCAACCGGAAATACAAGAAATTCAGGCAGCCCGTGATCCCGCAAACACAAATTGATTACTTGTTTGCCGAATCGGATCCCAACTTTGTCAGTCCTGACCTCACAGAAGGTCTGCACCGACCCTTCACGATTGTCAAGGACAAGCATGGCAATGATGTCCTCATGGATACTGCAACTGAAAAGACATATTACAATTTGGAGACGACGACAATCGAGGAGCGACTGTCCAACGGTTTCTACACCCGCCCTAAGGATTTCTTGTTTGATATCCGAAGCCTGTCGAAAGACGCCAAGAATATTGGAGACAAGGAACGCACTTTGAAGGCCAACGAGCTTTTGAGCAATGTGGAGGTTGACGTCGCTAGCATCGAACAAAGTACATCTGCCATTGACTGGGAAGGTCTCTATACCCGACAAGTGCTGCGAGCCAAGGAGCAGGCCGAGAAGGAGCGGAAGAGGCAAGCGATGCAATTGCTCGTCGACAGGGTGCAGTCAGACCTTGGTGGCAACGGCAATGACAGTGACTCGCAAGGTCCCGTCACTCTGGGCGAGTCTGTACCAGGCTCCCGAACTACGGCTCGGTTCCAGGTGAGAAGCCCATTAGCCAACCCGCCTGTTACATCTGAACAGGACCCTCAACCTGTCAGTAATGGGACCTCGCATGCTGCGGATGGCGACGTGCAGATGAGCGGGGTGGACGACGATACTCAGCTAGAGTCCGAGACGTCTGGTATGCCCCCTCCAAAGGCAGCTGGAACTGGGATGACGCAGATCTCCCAGAGATCAGCGGTCACTTCGCTACCTCCCGGAGTATCGCCTTCTGCGGTTATTAATGATGCCTCCACGACCAAGACATCTGATCCATCAACGCACCGATCTTCAAATTGGAGTACGCAGTTGACGAACGGTAATCATGATGAACATAACCAAAGCGGATTGGGAGACCACGATGATGATATTCCCGACACGGCCCCAATGCCAAGCCAGGTGACGTCTAGCGGAGAAGACGTGTGGGTGCACTCGCAAGCACAGGCCCTGCGAAGCAATATCGCTGCTGGCGAGTCTCACGCTACGACAAGCGGCAGTCCGCCATCCTCGCAGTCGTATGCTCAACGTACACCTTCAAGCACCAAATCCCACGGTATTGGTGTGTTGGATATCCTGAACACCCAGTCAGATGATGTTCGTCACTCGAACTCATCTTCCCAACCGCTTGGCCTCGACCCTGCCATTGACACATTCTTGGAATTCATGACGGACAAAACATCTGGATGCACCATTGAACAGCTCGAGCAGATCAACCGAGAGCTCATGGATGAGATCTGGCGTAGCAGGAATGAGTGGAATCGTCTTACCGTTCTCAACCACGTCAAGAGCGTGTTCAACCTTACGATCGACGACATCGAGCGCATGCAAGGGATGGACCCGCTCAGCCAGACGCGCCCTAGTATGGTCTCTTAGGAAGGGAATTCGGGCAGCCCAGGGCAAAAAAAAGCTGGGACTCCAGGTGTAGGGTGTCCCGAAGGAAACGATGTGACGAAGCTTCGATATGATCAAAGAAGCCAGTCTGCCTTTTGTGAAATCATTTAGAAATAAGGTCTCAAGCGAGGGCCGGGTTTGGTGTTACTTTCCCCTCCACCATGTTTTATTTTTACCGTGTTTATTTCTTTCCCCTTATTTGGCTCTGGAGTTTAGGACACAGCGGAAGGGGGTACGTCGGTGGATTTGAGTATCAGTGTAAAAGCAAGGCGCTATTGAAGTTGAGTAAGGCAAAAACTACATATACAGTTTGTGCTGAGGAAAATATAAGAGGAAATATATTTTGCATGAAGCCAGTGTGCTCTTCTTTTACTTGTATGTGAAGAAGCCAACATTTTGCCGCTGACTAAAACTGAATTGAACCTGATCAATTCAGAGATATTTGAGTGTATCAATTTTGAAATGGTTGCATTTGATAGGAGTGACTTGATCCAGGCTGCATCTCTACATATGGCGGACACGGCGGATGGTGATTGGATTATCTGAGACAAAGTTGTTCCGCACATCCACCGGCCTCAAACTGTTACCTCTCCCATTCTTTTCAGCCTCTCATCCAATCCAACCAGCGTGTGAGAAAAAGAGATTTGTGTCAAGAGGGAATTCCAACGAAAAATGCAGGCGCCGGAATTTACACTCATCGTTGCCGCCACGCGAAGCATGGGCATTGGCCTCAACGGCACGATGCCCTGGCAAGGTCTTCGCAAAGAGATGCAGTACTTTGCACGCGTGACAACCAGACTGCCACCACAGGTGAGTTCACCGGACCAGACCTTACCATTTTCCCCAAGAAAAGATAAAATAAGATGAGAAGAGGCTAACGAAGGGGGGTTGGAAGGCCGTGCCTGGCTCGGTCAACGCCGTCATAATGGGCCGAAAGACATGGGACTCGATCCCTCCCAAGTTCCGCCCGCTCAAAGACCGGCTCAACATCGTCGTCACCCGCTCCGCGCCGCCCGTCGCGTCGCCTGAGCTGCCCCTCGAGGACGCCGTGCGCATCTCGTCGCTCGACGGGGCCCTGGCGTACGCGCGGGCGCGCTGTGCGGGCGGGCGCGTCTTCGTGATGGGCGGGGCGCAGATCTACGAGGCGGCGCTGCGCCGGCCCGGGGCGAGGAGGGTGCTGCTGACGTGCATCGACCGCGAGTATGGGTGCGACACCTTCTTCCCGCTGGATCTGACGGGCAATACAGACGTGGGCTGGACGCGGAGGCAGCGGGAGGAGCTGGAGGGGTGGACTGGCGAGCAGGTGGAGGAGGGCTGGCATGAGGAAGCTGGGACCAGGTATCAGTTCCAGATGTGGGAGAAGAATCTTCGATAGATGATTTCATATAAAACAACTGTTGAAGATTTATACATATATATACATGAGTACCCCCCGCCAAATTAACCACGGCTTGCTAGGAAGTAGCAAGTTGTATATATATGAATCTACACATGCAATGACCGGCTGCGCCATGACCCCCCCTTCCCGTCTAAGAGTGATTTTTTATGGTACATTATGTATACACTTTTGACCCCTTCGGCCTTTCTCACCGGTTGGGTTTACTAGCCCGTCATGATCATACCTGTGCGGTAGCTTCTGGCACGGTTTCCGTCGCCTTCAACGCCTCCTGCGGCTTCGCATTGAACCCCTTCTCCGGCGTGTTCCAGAAGTTCTCGACGGGCACCGACAGAACCTCGCTCGCCCTGTTGGGGAACGTGTAGTCCGAGGTGGCCTCGAGGGCCTTGAGGCTGGCCCGCATCCACCCGACGATGGCGGCGAGGGCGCGGGGGTCGACGTCCGGGTCGCCCTTGAACAGATTCCTCCAGACGGCGCTGGCGAGGATGGCGTCGCCCTTGATGAGGCCCTCGTCGTAGGCGAGGAGGAGGCCGCGCCACTGGACGAAGATGTCCTTGAGGTAGCGCTGGCGCAGCGCCGAGGAGGTGATGTGGTGGTCGACGTGCATCTTCTTCTCGGCCTCGAAGAAGAAGTGGTCGATGAGCTGCTGCTGCCAGCGCCGGTAGACGTCGCGCTCGAAGCAGCGCACGCGTGCGTTGAGGAGGTAGAGGTGCAGCATGGTGACGTGTGACCATGTGCTGAATGTTGGGCGGAGCTTGAATTCTGGGCTCTGACGTTAGTATTTTTCTTCTTCTTCTTCGAGCTTGGATGGAGGGCGGGGTGGTGGAAGCAAATTACTCTTGTGCCAGACACTGTTGGCGGCAATGGATGTCCCGACCTCCTCGCCGTCGTCTAACCGGACGACCTTGTCGCTGTTGCGCTCCTCCTCGGTGATGTGGTAGTTGGCGGCCTCGCCGCAGACTTTGTAGAGCCGTTCCGTCGCTCCGACGACGAAATACGGCCCGCTTGTTGCGGCGCTGAACTTGGGCGCCATGCTGGCCGGGGCTGTCTGGCTGAAGGTTCGATACTGCAGCTCCCTGGAGGGGTACTGGCTGCCAATGGAGGTATTTCGAGCGGCAGCAGCTGGGCCGACGCTGGAGATATATCGCTTCGTCGTCGAAGGGGCCCTCCGGGTTGCAGCCCGGAGGAGGGTCCGGGCTTGGGAGCGGCACGTTTCGCATGCCATTGTGTCGGGTTTGATGAGGGACCGTACCGAGTTCGAGAATTCAAATATCTGAAGCCAGCTCGTAGAGAGGGCGGCGGGGAATGGAGTTTCGTGCAATGGGTATCGGCCGGCCGTAGTGAAGAAATTCTAGATGTGTGATAGGCGATCAGGCGGTCGGCAAATTGTCGGCTTCGGGTCTGGGTGTCATGGACTTTCGGTAGTGTGGAATGTCGCCAACAGCAGTTATTCCACACTATTTTTGGGTTTCAAATAAGTTGGAGAGGTCAATTGGCTTAGATATGGATATATTAATTGGTCAAGAATTTTATGTTAGTTGAGTTGGTTGAATTACATGTTATACATGGTCCGTTTTGTTGGTATAAAATACAGTATGTAGATGGTGGCACGCATTTACACTAGTCGAGCCTCGCTGAGGCTACGAAAGCTTGGAAAACACCAGGGTGCTATTGGTGCCTCCAAAGCCAAAGCTGTTTGTTAACGCGACCTGTACCTTTTTCTCCTGTGCTTCTAAAGGCACAAAATTGAAGTCGAAGCCTACATCAGGGTTCTCTAGGTTTAAAGTTGGTGGTACAGCACCCTGTGTTAGTGTTAGAGAGGGCACTTGTTTCCTGGATCTGGAACGCCAATGGGATGGAATTTACCTCGTGGATGGAAAGTATAGCAAAGAGTGCTTCGATGGCACCAGCAGCGCCCAGGAGGTGACCTATGGCGCCTTTCGTGCTGCTCACGGTGACTTGCGACTCGGACGAGACACCGTCTTCGCCAAGCATCAACTGACGGATGGCGGCAGCTTCGGCCACGTCTCCAACCTGGGTGGCGGTTGCATGTGCGTTAATATAGTCGATATCGGAAGGTTTCAGCTTTGCATTCTTCAAGGCCCTCTTCATGGCAAGATACGCTCCGCTCCCATCTTCACGTGGCGCTGTCATGTGGTAAGCATCACCGCTGCACCCATATCCTTTGACCTCAGCATAGATGCGTGCCCCTCTTGCTCTTGCATGTTCTAGCTCTTCCAGTACGCAGACTGCGGCACCTTCAGCGATTACGAATCCATCACGCTGGGCATCGAATGGCCGGCAGCTCGCCTGTGGGGATTCGTTATAAGCAGTGGAGAGGGAACGGGCCCTGCCGAATCCTGCGAAAGTGAGTGGGTGGATGCAGGATTCCGAACCGCCGGCCACCATGATATCGGCATCACCTAAAGCAATGAACCGGGAGGCATCGCCTATGGAGTGAGCACCGGTGGTGCAGGCCGTGGTGGCGGCGTGGTTTGGGCCGCGGAACCCATGTTGCATGGCAATGTGGCCCGCTGCCATGTTGATGAGCAGTTTGGGCACAAACAACGGGGAGACCTTCCTGTAGCCCTACAAACCATGTTAGATATATCTGGTGGACCTGAGTGGTAGCATAATGATGGATTTTCGGCTTGGACGGCGTTGCTCTGGTTGTCGCCTGTTCAGAAGAAGAAGGGTGGAGTCGAGTTCATCTCCTTTTCCTCCTGAATCCATGTGTTTTGAAATTGGTTGTATTGATTTACCTACCCCATCGTGATGAGCGACGCTTGTGTTATACATGTCCTCTAAATTGCCTATCCCGCTCCCCAGACACACACCGGTAGCCTCACGGTCCTCAGCTGAGGCTTCATGCAGCAATGCGGCGTCAGCTAGGGCCATGTCGCTTGCAGCGACGGCGTACTGGGTAAACTTTGACATGCGACGCTGGTCCGAAGTTCTCAGCCAATCTGTGGGGTCCCAGCAGTCATCCTGTCGGGGACCCGAAGGAATAAGCCCTGCCACAGTGCTGGTCTGCTCCCGCCATTGATCAGCAGGGTTAAGACCCCGGACACTGACAAGACCAGAGTCGCCAGCGAGCAGTCGGGTCCAAGTTCGCCGGATGCCTACCCCCAGAGGCGTAACGGCTCCAAGCCCAGTCACGACCACTCGACGCATGCTCCTGTTTCCATTCCCAGGAAAGAGAGGAACCGGGGAAGACAGGAAGAGGCGGGGACCGAGGCGGGAAGAGGCGGTGGGGGGGGCTCAGGCTGTATGCAGAGTCAGTTCTGCCGGTTAGAAAGCTAGGTGAGGAGGAACGCGGTTCAATTATTTAGTTGGTGGGTTTGCGGTGGGTGAAACTGTTGCTTTCCATGTTGCTGGAAGGGCTAGTCAGCGTATTCTTCAGACTCATGGAGCAGGGCGCCGATGGATGGCAGATGATGTTATTTAAAGAACAGACTTAGTACCAAATGGGCTCACCCCCTGTACGGGGCGGGCCCACAGCCGTCATGCGCGGCCTGCTCGCACTGTACGCGCACAGCCATTCCCGCAGCTAAACACGGTGCCGGCAGGATTCGTCTACTGTGCGGCGCAGCACCCTTCTTCCTTGTCGCGACACTGCGCTGCTTATCACAAGTTGAAGCCAGATTCGTGATTTAAGATTCGGCCTACGGGCTCTTTTTCTCCTGGCTCTTATTTCGCTAGCGGGATTCTTCTGCTTTTCTCTGTCTTCTCTATCCTTCCAGGCACCTTGTCTGTTGAATTGTTTCCATATCTCCCTTGTCTTTCCTTCTTTCCCCCGCTTCAGCTTCCTAACCGGTGCCTTTCTCAAGCGTGTTCTCAGCGTTGCTCTAGAATTGGTTGTGCTTACTACCTGGGCTCCTTTTCTCAATCTTGCGACGGTGATCAGACGATAACAGAGGCCACTCTGAATCCCGTCGAATCCCATCGCAATTTTATTCTTTTTCTTCTCGCCGATTAGATTTTTTTTACTTCCTTGTGGAATTAACTCAATTTTCTTTTCTGTTCTTTTCCTCTTCAAATTGGCTGGTTGCACGAGCGCACGGGTTTGAACTTACGCTACATGTATTGAGCAGCGGACTGTCCGGATTTGAGGCGTTGATAGCCTCGCACAAGGTCAGCGTCTTCGGCTGGCCACTCACAGGATTCTGTCACCATGAGTCTTTTAACTGAGGATGAGCGATCCAGAACCGCCGAGACTAGCGGGCTTTTGCCTGAAAGCTCTCTGGCGTCAAGGTTGTCTGGCGCTCATGACAGGCCTGATTCCCCGGACGGGGCTTTGAGGGAAGGCGTTGCCGGATTGGCTGGAAATCATGATGATGATGATGATGAGGGATCCGAGTATGAGCTCATGAATGACCCCAATCTCCCAGACGAGGATGAGGACCTTGGGTCAGACGTGGAGGAGGGTTTGCTGAGCGGCACGACCAAGAACCGGGGCGAAGAGGAGGAAAATTCGCCATACCCCGAAGTCCGGGCCGCAGTCAAGAATTATGACGAGGAAATGCCTTGCAACACGGTCCGGGCCTGGACAATTGGCTTGTTCCTGGTCATTTTCGGCGCTTCTATGAACACCCTGTTCTCTCTTCGGCGACCCTCTATTTCGATCGGCCCCCTGATCGCCCAAATCGTCGCTTGGCCTCTGGGCCATGGATGGGCCAAATGGTTCCCCAACGTGAAGATCCCGCTGGGCAAGTCAACGTGCATTGAGCTCAACCCAGGGCCGTTCAATGTCAAGGAACACGCCATTATTGTCGTCATGGCCAGTGTGTCGTTTTCTGTTGCATACGCGACAGATATCATTCTTGCACAGGTCCACTTCTACAAGCAGGATTTTGGGCTAATTTTCCAGCTGGTGCTCACGGTATCTACCCAATCTTTGGGCTATGGTATCGCTGGAATGTTGAGGAAATTCCTTGGTAAGGATACCCTGAGTGCTAGACCGCATCTCTATAGAGCCCGAAGCTAACAACCCCCCCCTTGATAGTATATCCGTCTTCCATGATCTGGCCAGGAAACCTGGTCGGAGTTACTCTTCTTAATGCCATGCATGAGGTGAATGAGAAACCAGACCCCACAGTTATTGGAGGCAAAATGCCTCGATTCCGATGGTTTGGCCTTATGGTTCTGTGCTCCGCCCTCTACTATTTCATTCCTGGTTTCCTCGCCAAGTTTCTCAGTGTGTTCGCATTTGCTACGTGGATGGCACCCAACAATGTGATGGTAAATCAGCTCTTTGGTGGGCACTCCGGTCTGTCGCTGATTCCCATCACCTTCGACTGGAGTCAAATTGCTGGCTACCATGGCTCTCCTCTCATTCCCCCGTGGTACGTATACTCAACGAATAGGGGTATATCGGATACGTCTTGCTGACAGGCACCTCTCCCTCTAGGCATGCTATTGCCAACACGCTGATTGGTGTCGTCGTCTTTTATTGCTTCGGTGCCGCTTTCCTACACTTCAATGGGGCGTGGTATGGCAAGTATCTGCCAATGAGCGATTCCACCACTTACGACAACACGGGTCATGCCTACAACACCACTCGAATTCTGACTCCCGATTTTACCCTCAACGAGACGGAGTATGAGAAGTATTCTCCCTTGTTCATCAGGTTAGCACGTTCTTCCCTCCCATTCAGCCTGCTCCCGGTCAGCTAACATGGGATTCCCAACTGCAGCACCACGTTTGCCTTGTCATACGGACTATCATTCGCTGCCATCTCGTCTCTTATTGTCTACACTATCCTCCACAACGGCAAGAGGATTATGTCGCAGTACAAGAGCAGCTCAAGTGAAAAGCCCGATATTCACATGAAGCTTATGCGCAGATACAAGGAGGCCCCTACCTGGTGGTACATGTCTCTTTTTGTTCTTGTAAGTCACCGCTTCTCTCTCCCCCTCCCCTCCTTTACGGACTCGCTGACCAATCCAGATGCTTGGTCTGGGATTCTTCGCTGTGCTTGCGTATCCGACTAATCTCACTTGGTGGGCTTTCCTGCTCGCCGTGGTTATTTCTTTCACGTTTGCATTGCCGATTGGTATCATCGAAGCCATCACAAATAAACGCATTGGTCTCAATGTCTTGACCGAATTTATTTACGGTTACATCCAGCCTGGCAGGCCGCTTGCCCTAATGATGTGAGCCCCCTCCCCCCTTTTCACGCCCCTTTCGGCACCGAACATCCCGCTTCTATTGCTCAGTAACTGA